GAATCTATCAACTTTTCAGCTTTCCGGTCACAGTAGGAAAGCTGATTTCTGACAGCTCGAGAGGGAACTGGCAGAACACGGCATTTTAATCAAGATCCAGAAACAAGCTTACAGGATGACCTTCCAGGCAAAGAATAGTAATTCACCTCAATGACACGTTGTTGTGTTTGTCCCTCTGCTTCTTGGGCTTGTTTATTGAGGGATGACAATACCCAAGGCAGATGATTTTTAATAACCATGGAAAAGACAGCAGAGCTGCCATTGTTAGCTCAAACAAAAGCGGCGCTGGGATTTGATGAACCTGTGTGAAGATTTAGCAAGCAGTTTATGAATGTCAGGCAATTGGATAAACCTGTCAAGTTAGTTTATGTCACTGACGAATTATAATAGCATTATTTGCTCCTGAGTCCTTCCCTGTGGCCTCCTTAGTGTGACAGACCCTTGAACCACTTGGTTTGCTTTGATTTTGAAAATGATGATTATACTCCTGGGAGGATACGAAGCAAGAGGAGTTGTGCGTGTGTGTGTGTGGGGGGTCCCTTCATCCAGTAAGATACTGGTCTTCAGAGAGAATCAATAGAAACTTGACAGCTGATTGCTCTAAATGACACAACACTGAAGCATATTGTTGTACTGGGTGGCATTTTGTTATAATGTTGTGTACGCATGCCAGTTCTTCTGTTGCTGTAAAGACATCACCAAATGCTGTTTAAGTGCAGCTTAATAGGCATGTGCTTAATAACAGGGTTTCCTGCTAAACAGCAAGTAACTTGAATTCATCAAATTCACTTTTCATGTAGTCTGGTTTGAAAGAAATTTGATCTCAAAGGTTTGCAGAATATTTCTAGTACTAACTAAAGTTGCAGTGAGACCAAATAAAAGCCATTGTTCACTCGCAGCTGTATAATCCTCAGCATCAGTTCTCATTAGAGCCAAATGGCAAAAAGTAGCTGCGCATATCTGGCCTCAAACAAAATCTACCGAATATTTACGTAAATTTATGGAACAATTTCATAATTTCGTTGATTGCGCTGCATCAGAGCTGAGGTTTAAACACATTCACTTAGGATTTAATCACTCAAAACTACACCTCCTTTTTTTTTCTTTTACCAGTTAAATTACTCTTACTACTTAAATATTTATTTAATTAATCTTATTATTTTAGCCAAAGAAGAAGTAGCGCTTTAGACATTTCATCTTAAGTGTATAATTCAAGTCTAAATTTTA